ACCATTAGCCTCAATGCCATGGAGGGTTTTGCCAACTTTGTCTTCAATGTACCTTATGGTGTCTGGTCTGATGTTGAGGTCTTTAATCCATTTTGATCTTACTTTTGTACATGGTGTTAGGCAGAGTTCTGAGCCCATTTTTTTGCATGTAGCCGTCCAGTGATGCCAGCACAGTTTGTTAAAGAGGCTTTCCTTACTCCACTTCACATTTCTTGCACCTTTATCAAAGATTAGATGATCATATGATTGAGGGGAGATGTCAGTGTATTCAACCCTGTTCCATTGGTCTGCAGTTCTGCCTTTGCTCCAGTACCATGCTGTTTTGATTATTACTGCTTTGTAGTAGAGTTTGAAGTTAGGGAGGTTGATTCCTCCCATTTTCTTTTTCCCCAGAATTGCTTTAGCTATTCGTGGAGCTTATTTTTCCATTTGAATTTACTATACAAATCTATTGTTTCTAGGAGTTTCTTGGTGGAGGTTATTGGGTTCTTTAAGTAGAGTATCATATCATCTTCGAATAGTGAGAGCTTGATTTGTTCCTTTCCTGCCTGAATGCCCTTAATATCTTTTTCTTGCTAATCGCTATTGCAAGTACTTCCAGTACTATATTGAACAGCAGTGGGGAGTGGGCATCCTTGTCTCGTCCCTGATCTTAGAGGGAAGGCTCTCAGTTTTTCCCCCATTGAGGATGATGCTTGCTGTAGGCTTGTGGTAGATGGCTTTAACTATGTTGAGGAAAGTCCCCTCTATACCAATTTTGGCTAGGGTTTTCATCATAAAGGGGTGCTGGATCTTGTCAAATGCTTTCTCTGCATCTATTGATATGATCATATCCATTTTATCTTTTCTTTTGCTGATATGATGGATTACGTTGATTGATTTCCGAGCGTTAAACCATCCTTGCATCCCTGGGATGAATCCTACTTTGTCATGGTGTATGATCTTTTTGATGAGTCATTGGATTCTATTTGCCAGTAGTTTGTTGAGGATCTTTGCATCTGTGTTCATCAGGGATATGGGTCTGTAATTCTCTTTCTTTGTGGTATCTGTGTCTGCTTTTGGTATCAGTGTGATATTTGCTTCGTAGAAACTGTTCGGAGGTGTTTTTGATATTTCAATTTCGTGGAAAATCTTAAAGAGGATTGGGAGTAAGTCTTCTTTAAAGATTTGGAAGAATTCACTAGTGAATCCATCCGGGCCAGGACTTTTGTGCTTGGGGAGACTTTTTATTACCATTTCAATTTCCTTGATGGTGATAGGTCTGTTCAGGTATTCCAGGTCTTCTTGGTTCAGCCTTGGGAGTCTGTAGGAGTCTAGGAATTTATCTATTTCCTCGAGGTTTTGATGTTCCGTGGCATAAAGCTTCTCAAAGTACTCCCTGGAGGATCCTTTGAATTTCTGTAGTTTCTGTTGTAATGAGCCCCTTTTCATTTCTGATTCGGTTTATTAGGGTTTTCTCTCTCCCTTTCTTTGTGAGTTTTGTTGGAGGCTAATCGATGTTGTTAATTTTCTCGAAGAACCAGCTCTGAATCAAGAGGTTTTTGAAAAAAATTTTTACTAAGGAGTTCCTCCTGGCTCTTACTCAGGAATTATTCCTGGCAGTGTTTGGAGGCCCATATAAGATGTCAGGGGTAAAATCTTGGGTTGGCTCTGTGCAAGGCAAATGCCTTACCCTCTGTTCTATCCCTCTGGCCCCCCTTGAGGTGCTTTCAAAGTGAAAGATTTCAAAGTGAAATTTTTTTTCTCTGTGGTGACTTAGGTAAGCAAAATCTAGGCATTATTTCCTGAAGTATAAATTTAGAAACACCTCTCTGGCTTTCTCAGTGTGGGCGGGGAAAGCCTCTCCCACCCAGCAGAGGTATTCATGAGAACCAATAAATGTTTGTGCTCTGAGTGTTTAGGCGTTTGTAGGAAGTCCAGCTGCCAGTCCTCCCCTGGGTGGGCTCCTCCAGGCGAACAGGTGATGCCAGGAGAGCGGATACAGGATTCCCACGAGGGGCATTAATAGTGCACACAGCACAACTTCAAGTATCTTACTTTACAATGAAACTGTGGGAGGTGAGGCCACAGGTAAGGGGAAATTGTTGCAATCATGATACACATTGAATGAAAAGAAATTTTGGAAATACTAATCAGAAGATGTGGAGTTTCCTCTTGTTTCATTGACCCTCAGTTACTTCTAAATGGCTGGTTGGTTATCAATGAAATGCAGAGGATTAGACTTTAATAGCACGTGACTATTTACAGGTTGATTAGGTTTATTAGAGAATGGTTGACATTGGTGACTGTATACGCTATGTTGAAATATTTGGAGGGAGTATAAAATGTTCATATTGGGGAGCTGAAGAGCTACTGTAGTGGTCACTAAGGGGCCTTGCCTGCTACCAACCCTAGCTCCTCTCAGCCCCACCAGGAGTGACCCTTTGAGCACAGACCCAGGAGGAGGCCCCGATCACTGCTGAGGGGGCTCAAACTCCTCTACCCCTCAAATACAGATATTGGTGATGCGTAATGACTCTGATGAGCAATTTGGGAGTCAGCAGGTGGAAGTGGCTAAAACCCTGGTTGTGCTTGGAGCTAGGAAAGTTGGATATAGCAAGAAAAGAAACAGATTTTAGTGCATTTTTCTCTCCCTCTTTTGTTCCCTCCCTTCACTCATTTTAGATGAGAAATCAAAGTCTGCTGTGGTTTTTTTTTTTCCCCTTTTACACAGTCTTATTTGGTCATGACATTTAAAAATACAAGTAGTGGGGCTGGATTGTTAGCACAGTGGATAGGGCATTTGCCTTGCACGCAGCTGACCCGGGTTCAATTCCCATAGGGTCCCCTCAGCACTGCCAGCAGTAATTCCTGAGTGCAGAGCCAGGAGTAACCCCTTTGCATTGCCAGGTGTGACCCAAAAAGCAAAAGAAGAGAAAGAAAAAGGAAAAAAAATACAAGTAGTGTTTCAGTCTCCATTGCAAAAGTGAAAATTATATAAACTGTATTTTTGCTAGTACCATGGATTACTCACTGGGCTTTGTGGATGCTTTGCATACAGAAGGCCTGGGTTCAGTCCCAGCACCATATGGGGTGAACCCTAAGCACTGTCAGGTGCCCCCCCCCTTCCGCAAAATGAACTATTTATACTAAAAAACCAGCTTGGTAGTTAATTCACTATTATAAATTTTTAATCCAAAGCTTATCTTTTTTTGCTAGTTTGCTTGTTTTCTTTTGCTGTGTTTAATATGGAAGCCAGTGTTGCATTTTGATATTGATAAGATGGAAACATGGATTTTCTTTGCGGAAGACTTGAATTGTGTCTTTTCATAGAACTTTAACATATGAAACAAGACCTTTAGCTATTTCTGTGACCTAGATTCACACCAATACATGGACTTATGTGGGAGCAATGCACTGAAGGATGAATGAGACCTGCCGATGACATTACCTATCTCTCCTGCCCAGAATTACAATGCCGTCATGCGTGTTTGTTCGTGTGCACTTAAATCCTCCCTTGTAGCTCAGATTCAAATCTAAGAAAGATCAGAGTTAATAGAAAACCAAATGGCAGGCAGCTGGGGCTACTGGAGGAGGGCCCTGCCCTGACCCTGTGTCCCCTCTGTGGCAGGGGGAGTCAGGAAGCCCTGCTGGCTGCTTTGGACCTCGCCTGTTATTTAGATTGTCTTTCATCTGAAAACCTTTTCGAAGTTTCCTTGGGCTTGTGTATTTTTAAGAAATAAAAACGTAATGTAAGAACATGGTGGGTTATGAAGCATGAAGATCCACAAATATTTATGCCAAGGCATAAAAGTAGGCAATTCCTATTTTCTTGACATATTGGGGTCATATTTTATTCTTGACCTCTTGAGTTGAAAAATACAAGGAGTTACTGTATCCTTTTCTTTCTTTGCTCTTGCCTTTGTAATTTCTTTTTCACCTTCTTAAAAAAAAAAACCACACACAACAACAACAACAGAGCTTTAGATGCCAAGAAGGATCCTGTGAGGTCCATGCAAAGCTTCGACAATATTTTATTTTCATCCTGGTTTGTGAGCATGGATTAAAAAGTCTATCAAAGTTTACTCTTACCAAAAGTAAAGTTTAGGCCTTAGTGACAAACTATTTAATCTGTTTTAGTGCTTAGCATAGTCATTTACTTTCTATTCTAAGTAACACAAAAATTAATTCCTTCCCAAATGGCAAGATATAGTTTTATTTGTCAACTATTCAGCTAAAGCTGGGGAGAAAAATCCAGATAGTCCCTCTACATTGATTTGTAAGGTTGATACCTGTATTTCTTGTCCTCGGGGTGTTATCACTTAGAAGAAGAGAAAATTATATATTTTTAAAATACATATGATACATCGCAATAAGTGTCTGGGTTACAGAATTAGGTAAATGCGCATCATACTACCAAAGAGCTTAGGTATTAGTTAAATTTAATATCTAATCGTAGTAAATTTTATGCAAAGACTCTTTGTTTTTGCCTTCTCGTTTTTTTGTTTTGTTTTGCTTTTCAATTTTCTAAGCAAAACTTAATTGCCAATACTATACATGTTTCCTACATTGTAATCAGTCTATAGTCCAGTGTGGCTAATATGGGAAGATCAAGACAGGGCAAGCGAGAAAAATTTGGGGCTGATGAAACGTATGTCCATTATTTTGTCTTAAACAAAAAAAAACCCAACAACAAACCACTCTTTGATGTCTTCTTGCACAGAGCCCATGCATATGCTTTTTTTTTTTTTTTGCTTTTTAGGCCACACCCAGCGATGCTCAGGGGTTACTCCTGGCTTTGCACTCAGGAAATTACTCCTGGCAGTGCTCAGGGGACCATATGGGATGTTGGGAATCGAACCTGGGTTGGCTACTTACAAGGCAAATGCCCTACCCGCTGTGCTATCGCTCCAGCCCCACATATGCTTTTGTAAAGTTTATATTTTTTTTGCTTATGCAAAAGTTTACTCTCCCATGCAGTTACTTGATTTTTAGGATATCATTAAATTTCTGTCTTTTAGGTTGCCTGCCTGATTCGAGTTCCTTCTGAAATAGTTAAGCAGAGGGCACAGGTATCAGCTTCTTCAAGAACATTTAAAATTTTCTCGGACATCCTGTATGAAGAGGTGAGACATGTTTATTAGATCTTTTCATCTGTGGGAAATATTTTATAGTTGCTAATAAGAACACTGTGCTTCTTTTACCAAGAGACTTTGGAGATTCCTTACTGTTAAATTTAATGGCTAATCATGGTAAATTTTATGCAAAGATTCTTTGTTTTTGCCTTCTCGTTTTTTTGTTTTGTTTTGTTTTTCAATTTTCTAAGCAAAACTTAAATGCCAATACTATACATGTTTCCTACGTTGTAATCAGTCTATAGTTCTTTTGGTCTCAGGCATGGAGTAATTAATATGTAAAATGGACAAAGATAATTGCATTTAAATTATCTCCAAAGATAATTTCTACCGAAGTACTCATGGTAGAAAATTAGTAATGAACTGGTATTAGAGACTACTACAGTGCTGTTTATATCAAAATGTTCTTCCTCTTTCACTGGTTAGTGTTACAGCAACTGTGGGTCAGAAATAATTTTTGTTGGCCAAGGGACTAGGGGCCATTGAACTGTCCTAACTTTATATACTTTTATAGAAGATTGCAGGTATTTGTTTTTTTGGATTTTATATTTTTTTGCTCCCAGTGGAAATCAACCACAAAGAAATGAGTCTGATTTTTAGAAAATTTATTCTTCATGGCCCCTCTCACCTGGATGAAGAGATGTTGAGCCGTTGATAAATAATGAGATCCGTGAAACAGAAGAGTCCCTTGAATTAGATGGATGGATAAGTACATAAGTCAGTGCCTGTCCAGAGCTTCTGTCAGGTTATTAGTGAATTTCTTTGACTTCTGAAAGTATAAAATATGCAATTCTTAATATTGTTTTCTTTTTGTTTGCTTCTTTGTGGTGCTGGGGATCGGACCCAGGGCCTAATCCATGCAAGGCAAGTACTCTGCTGCTGAGCTGCACCCCTGCCTTGTCACTCTTATTTTCGTGTTTAAGGATGCTCAGCATTCTTTGTGTCTTTGCTTTCGGAAATCTGAAGGGTTTTCTTCAGGAGAAGAAATGTTGAAGCCAATTAACACTAAATCAGTCTGTAGTCAGTAATGGGCTGTGGATGTAGCACAATGGGTAGAGCACATGCCTGGCATATGTGAGGCCCCCGGGTTGAACCCTGGCACCTTAGGGTTCTTCAACACCATTGGGTATGATCCTTATTTTTTTTTAAAAAAAAAAACATCAGTTTGGGGGCTGGTGAGACGCCACCGTGGGTGGGGTGTTTGCCTTTTATGTGACTGACCTGGGTTCAATTGTGCCACCCTCCCCATGGTCCCCTGAGCCCCTCTAGGACTGATCACTAAGTGCAGATCCGGGAGTAAGCCCTGAGCACTGCTAGGTGTGGCCCCAAAGCAAAAACCAACAATTCTTAAAAAAATTATTATTATTTAAACTATTATTAGAGTTGTTTCATTTTGAAAGAAGTTGACAAATTGACCTGGGTCTATATCTTATGAGAGGTAACAAACCTTTACTGGTTTTTTTTGTCTTTCTTTTTATTGTTTAATGGGTACCACACAGAGCAGTGCTCAGGGCTTCCTCCTGGCCCTGGCCTCAAAGGTCATTCCTTGCAGGGTTTGGGGTGTCACATAAGCTGCCGGGGATTGAGTCCAGGTTGACTCTGTACAAGGCAAGCACCCTGCCCACTTTATTCTCTCTCTGGCCCCAGTTTAGAACCACTTGTCTTCTATAAAAGCTTTGTGGGCCACATCTGGTGGCTCTGCACTCAGAAATCAGTCCTGGCAGTGCTCAGGGGACCATACCTGATGCTGGGAATAGAACCCAGGGCAACCCACATGCAAATGCCCTACTATCACTCTGGCCCAGAACACTTAATCTTTTACAGAATTGCCATCATTGTGAACATCTTTATCTCAAAGTTTTGAGCAAGTAGTCTGCTTCATTCACAGTATCATTCAGAAATGTCTGTTCTTCCAGCTGAGTTCTTCGCCCTTTTTTTTTTTTTTTTTTTATCTTTCAGGGCATCCAAGGATTATATCGAGGCTACAAGAGCACAGTTTTGAGAGAGGTAATCACTCAGTTTCATCATTGAATTGTGAAAGAGTGATGGGCTTTGTTCCTTAAATTTAATTTTGAGAAATTAGTTAAAAAATCAAAAAGGGGCGCTATTGTCAGTTTGTAAAGCACTCTTTAATCTCATCTCCTCCATCTAGTTAGTGGATAGAATTAGTTTGCTGAAAGAGCAAGCTCAGTGGTCAGAACGCCCATTCTCAAACGACTAACTGTGGGAAAGATTAAAAATTGCCTGACATATTAAAAAAAATAATAAAACGCCCCCGTGGGTAAGATTTCCGGTTAATTACTGTAACATACTGAGTAATGGGAAATTGATAACCAAACCAGCCTTCTGGGAGAGCAAGCGTGCTCTCTCGCCTGCCTGCTGATGACGCCACAGAGCTGGGGAGTGTGGTGTGATGCACCAGCTGCTCATGCCTCAGGCCTTCTAACTCTTGGTGACAGTCTGGGATTCAGTATCTGCTACCTTTCTTTTCGGTTGAGAAAGCAAAGTGATTCCAGTATATCCTTGCTGAATCTGCACTTCTGAATGTTCAGTGTGTTGTAGCTTTTGTCGCACTCAGGAGAAGCCGTGTTTCAGTGCCAGGGACTGAACCCAGGTCTGCCCCCTGCAAGTGCCCTACTGCAGGGCTCTATCCCTGGCCCTCGGGGAGGCTGTCTTGAAGTTTAGAGGTTGATTTATACATCGCCGGGCTGCTTTGGTTGTTTCTTTTGTGTCTGGGGAATTGGCACAGTCGGTGGTGTGCTGGGGTACTCCTGGGTCGGTGCTCAGGGGTTGCTCCTAATGTTGTCGAGAGGGAGATGCTAGGGATTGACCTGAGTCTGCTGTTAAGGCAAGAGCGGTAACCCTTGTACTCTCTCTCCAGCCCTTGTCGATCTATGGAGAGAAAAGAGAAGTTCCTGAGTTGGGGAAATGTGTTTTTCAGAGTTTCAATCTTGGGACTGGGGGGCGATGACCCAAAGGACTGAACTGTTTGCTTCTCCAGGCCTGAGGTCTGGGTTGAGTCCCCTGTGCAGTGTGGTCTTAGGAGCATCTCCAAGAGGACCCTGAGCAGCCACCTGGTGTGGGGAAAGACTTTCCATCCTGGGAATACCCCCACCCCAGCTTTATAGAGCTACAACAGACACATAAGGTAGGGATTTAAAACATAATGTGATGACTTGCTGTATTTGTACATTGGGAAAAGAATATGCATGCATCTGTATCATATTTTGATTTATTTTTGATTTTCTATTTGGAAGTCTCTGTTAAATCCATTTCATGGGAAAAGGGTATGTATACATCTGCATCATATCTTTTGGGTTTTTTGTTTTGTTTTGCTTTTCTATTTGGAGGTCTATTAAATCCATTTCATTTTCATGTATAAAAATGGCTTCAATTTAAATATCTGTTAGCAGAATATCGGAATTCAAAACCCCTCATTTTATTTCCCAGTGGTTGTGAAATTTTGATTTTGTACTATAGAGTACAGATCTTCTTTTTGAAAACTAGCAAGGGTACATGCTATTTAAAACTTTAAATTCCACAACCTTCTGTGTTGCATGGTGGACATGATGTAGATCTTTGAAAATTTTTGTTTGAAGATAGAACTAATTTCAAAATTAGTTCTATGTGTGAAGATGACTTCTGCCTTTCAAAAATATCACCTGTACCTTATCTTCATTCTGTACTTATTTTCTGACTCACAAGCATTATTTATGTAGCTTTCACCTGGGTGCAGGAAAAGGGAGGAGGGCCAATGAACCTCCTTTACTTTCTTAAGAGTTGCTGAATAAATGAATGTATTGGCTCACCAGAGAATACTGGCTTTGCATGCAAGCAAATAGATAAAACGCATGGTTATAACAGCATTCTTTTCTTTAAAAAATTTGTTTTGACATATGTCACACTCGTAATTAATTTCTAGACTGCAATTCTTGCAAATCGTGTGCCCCTACTGAAATGGCTTTGTTTACTCAAAATGGCAGTGCTTTGTTGGAAATTTAATTGGGGTCTTCTGCATTATGCGTATTCATAAAAGATCCTTCAGAACTGATTTTCCTTGAAATAATGCTTTTGTAGAGATTCTCTGATAGAATGGGAGAAGAATTATTGGTGAGTGGAATATAGCTTAGTTTCACAATGAGAAAAATAAGAAGTGATATCTCTGCTTCAAACAAAATTTTTGCATTATAAATAGTTTCAATTTTTATTTTATTCTGACACCAATATCTAATCTTTTGCCAAGGGCTTATTTGATTGTTTCAATAGGAAGGTACATCAAAGCCTTAGTGAAAATCACCAGAAAACTTATACATTTATTCTATGTACATTTTTTCTTTAAAATGGCTTTTGCTCCCTAGCAGTAGCCCATTAACATGAGATTGAAGCTTGAAGCCATGTATTATAAGATAGATCATGTACATTCTTTAGATCTTGTGAATGCTGTCACATGTTATTTTTTGTTGCATTTGATGTTCGTGGCGATTGCTTACTTGTCTTTTGCGTTTTCCCAAATTGATTCAGTTACTGTGAGTTTTGGACTGTGGATAAGCAAGGTCAGATTATACCCCTTATTTCACTCAGTATTCATTTTCCACATGAGCTTGGTCAAACTGGAGGTGGCCAAGCATCACATGATATGGTACTGCAGTAAGATGCGGCAGGGAATATAATCAGAGCTGTTTCATAGACTGATTTCAGAGCGCCCATTGTTTTGAAAGTCTTATACAGAGCAGCCTCACCATCGTAGTATAAATCAAAAGGACTTTATGGAGGAAGACTGCAGTGAAAGGAAAGTTGTTTTCAGAGAAAAAAGCCGCAAGTTAAGCCTTGGAAATAAATGTATTTCATCCACAGATTCTGACTCACAATCCCTTAAAATGTGTGTATCACAGGCAGGGAGAGGATGCCTCAGAGTGGTGTGCATGCAGAATGTAGGATGTCTGGGTTTGATACCCATCGCCACATGATGTTTTGAGCTCCATGCTGGGGATAATCCCTAGGAGGAAACATGAGAAGATACTTTTGCAGTACCGTGTAATAGTGCTGTAATGATATGCATAGACAAGGTGCCACTGCGAGTACAGAAGAAGTAACGCTAGAGTGATAGGAAATAAGTATTAGTTGCATTACTAAGAATGTATTTTGACTGAAGTCTTTAATTTGCGTGTCTGAGCATGCATGTTGCCCTAATTTAAAAAAATTTTTTGCGGGAGGGCGGAAGTAAACTAGATTTTATTGAACGAAACTTGCTTAGAAAGATGTGAGAGAAAAGAAAGGGAAACCGTGTTCAGGAGAGAACACAGGCTTCTGCAGAGTGGAAACAAGCAGACAAACAGACAAGTGAGATGCATGTTCAAGGGTGAACATGATCTTGAGGAGTGCTCTTATGGGGCCCTATTTTCTGAAGGAGAGTCACTGAGTAGTCAGCTAGGCAGCAGATGCAGCATGAGCAAATGCACCAGAATTGTTCAGAATTGGGGTTTTTACCCCCATGGAAGTGATTTCACTGTGATGCAAGGATGCTCTAAGGAAGAGCTCAACCAAGTGCAGTATTTGCCGGGAGGAGGGGGCCAGCTTTCAGCCAGCAGATGTCTGCCAGGGCATGAAAACAAGTCCATGGGAAAGTCTTTGTAAGAGCTTGACATGTGTCTTGGGGATTTTGGAGGTGACATTACTGGCGTTTGGCTCTTCTGCACATCCATGATAGGAGCTTGCTTGAACTGCCTCAATGCCTGAGTATTGCTGTTTTGTTTCTGAGTAAGTTCTGGCTTCTTTTTGGTAGAGAATAGCCACTAAAATCTGTTTGAGTGATGGCAGAGCTGGTAAGGCACTTACCTTGCATGCAGCCAACCTGAGTTCGATTCCTCGCATCCCAAATGGTCAGTGATTCCTGAGTGCAGAGCAAGGAATAACCCCTGACATTGCCGGGTGTGGCCCCCAAACAAAACAAACAAGCGAAAACCAAAAAAAGATTAAAAAAAAAGAGTTGAGGTATCCTCTTCCCCCAGTTTTCTTAGCAGTCTTCAGAAAATTAAGTCTCCTGCCAGAATCTATTGTTTATGCAGTTAAAAACTAGCAATCAGGAGGCTCAACTTATCCAGTGTGTCCTGAAATTCACAAGAATTCCTCAGTCTCATAGAAAAATTCATTTGAATATATGAATTGCCACACCCAGTAGTGCTCAGGAGACCATGTGCAATGCTCAGGATTGAACCAGGGTGGGCTGCATGTAAGGCAAGTGCCTTGCCCCCTATACTGTCTCCCCAGTCCTTAGTGGAGAGAGATCTTTGTGACGTGAACTCTACGGTTTAATCCATCAGTGTGTGTTCAAAAAAATGTTAGTCATGAAGATTCCTTTTCTTGGTGACTGAAAGTGCTCGAGAGGAAATGGTGCTTGTATATAAAATGTGACTCGGTTCCTCACCAGCTGCCGGCTCTTGGCACATCACTTAACCTTCCTGAGTGTTTGCCCATCTGTGCCAGCTCTGCGCATTGTCTGCCTTCCTCCAACTCTGGGGCAGGCTGAGGAGACCCCTTTCAGCACTGTGATGGGGAGGGAGAACCCTGCCTCTAGCCTGTTTGATTCTTGCGAAGGGGTGTAGTATCGGTCTGTCTGGATTTGATTGTTAGAGTTGTTTTCTTTTTTTTTTCTTTTTGGGTCACACCCAGAGATGCCCAGGGATTACTCTGGGCTCTGACCTCAGGAATTACTCCTGGCATTGCTTGGGGATGCTGGGGATCGAACCTGGGTCAGCTGCATGCAAGGCAAATGCCCTACTCGCTGTGCTCTCTCTCCAGCCCCTAGAGTTGTTTTCTGGTGATGAGGAACAATTGTGTTTGAACCAGACACCAGTGGTATCGGTTACTATTTGTAAGGCTTCTCAGCTACAAATGGAGAATGTTTCCTTCAGATGTCTTGTGGAGAAGAATAATTTATTCAGTTAGCAAACTACAACCTGTAACTGATTTTATGTTCACTGTTTTTATAGTCTGTCTTTTTTTATAAA